GTGGTGGAACAGAAGAAGGTCCTTGAAGCAATTGACATGCCTGCTACGTATGCCATGAATTGATGCAGTTGAAGCCTTGTTCTGGCTTTTTCCGGTTGCCAATATTGCTGCGGTTGTATTTATAGTTATCCTGCTACCATGGGAGGGGAAAAATCTATTGACTAACTAATATATAACCAGGCATTTTGATTGATAACTAATATGATAGCTCAACACTGCAAAATTAAGAAATACTAAACCTTGATCCAGAAAATATGATATGATTCTCAGTTCCAACTAAAGTTGACTCAACATCAATGAAGACTAAGAATCTCAAAAGGGTTGTCAAGATTAAAACAAAAAGCACTTTATATATAGTGTATATATGGGTAAAAAAAAATTGTACATGGGCGGTATCCCCTTAGTACCTTTATGAATAACATTTCTCATCTGATATTTCAAAAAAATATATATGCGTAAAAAAATTAGCATGATCAAACACTGTAATAATCAAAATATGCAAAATTTTTACAATTTTGCCTCTCTAATAATGCAAACTTAACCAGAAACATTCATAAAATGATGAAATGTAGGAGATAGATCCATTCTTTCTATTACAACTCAGCTCTATTTGTTTAATCTAGTGAAGGAGGCACAGATATTCAACATCATTTCTTCCTAGCACTATTTTCGAGATTCATGCTTGGTAGGCATGCTGTAAAGACAATCAGCATAGTGAATTGTCAACCAGCATTCACCATTCCTACTTAACAGGATGGAAGTTACTAAACCCTATCTACTACTTCACAGCCTAGCTTCAATGATCTCCTCTATTACCACCATTGACAGATTACTGCCTCTTCTACAAAAGGGAAATGCACCTATTACCTTGCTCCTCCATTCAATAAGATTATATGCAAAACCAATAGAAAAGATCCATCAACTAAAGAACCTTAACTTCCTTCAAGGTCAAGACGAAGGTCCTTTTGGCGTCATTGGACCACCGAACCACTAACCAGGCACCAGAAGACTAATCAAAAGCTGCTACTTCACCAGTTACTACACCAACCTTTTTTTTAACTAGACACTCAACGAGTCGTGAATCGGGCAGCATAGAACAACTAAGTAAGCTAAGGAAGGAGGAAAACAAAAGGGCGTAGGGTGGGCAAGATACATCAAGTATGGTGTCAAATAAAGCCTACTAGAGATAAAAACAGTAGACATAGAAGCCTAAAACCAAGTTTGGGATCGAGAAAGTCAGCCAAAACCGTCAATTTGTTTAGGCTACAAGAAAATTAGAAGCAAATTATCTACTGTAGTAAAATGCTCGAAGGTTGAAAGGTTCAATTACAGGATTTGAAAAACAAAATACGTAAAACACATCAAGGATTGTCTCCATAGAAATGTGTATACAAAGCTATGAAGTGGAGAAAAATAGAGAAAGAGAGAGAGAGAGGGCTTACCTGTATCTTCGATACCAGAGAAGAGGACGTCAAGAAGCATAGACAAAGATGGAGGAGAAGCAGTTTAAACTTTTAATCAAGAGACGAGACCTTCAGTCTGCTCCAGGTAATAGTGATAGGGTTTTTTTTTTGTTTTTTGGGTTTCAATATTTTGTAATATTTGCAATTGCATTCCTAACGGTAAGATAATTGGTCGTTGCTTTTGTTTTTTTTTTTTTTGAAGGTATTTTTTTCTTAAACAAAAAAAATAAAAAGTTTTCTTTTTACAGAAATGCCCGAACTGAAAATTAAATGCAGGATGATTCTTTTAATCTGATTATTTGAAGTTCTACATTCTTTAGAATTATGTTTTAGCGTAGACAGGGCTTGCGTCATATTTAGATAACTTATTATTATATAGTAAAATATTTATTCAGATACTAACTACCTTAAATTTTTCAAAGACCTAAATCCAATTAACGTTTTTTAAATTGAACATAACTTAGCCAATTTTTTGTTGGCACTGGAGATTAATTTCCTAATGGGTGCACTCACCCACTCTTCCTACACTCTTCTATATCTACTTGGTACTAATTAACATTAATTAACAAGAAATTGAGTTCAAATAATAGGGTAGATATATCACTCTTACCAAATGAACTAAACCTAGTGAATTTCTCATAACTGGAAAACAGACCACTTTACCTTGCACGTTAGTAAATCTACATCTACCAACAACAAAAAAAACTCAAAAAAAAAAAAGACATGCCAACAAATAATTATAAGGATTTACAGACCAAATAGCCTTTTTTCAATAGGAATGAGACTAGGTGGCCTTCAGACAACATATGAAGAAGAAACTCATTCTCCTCTGTGCACAACATAAATGGTTTTCTTGGAACCTTTTTCTTGAGGAGCAACACAACAGCTACTTTCAACATGGCTGAACTGGACTTGTATGAACCAGAGGAAAAAGCAAAATTCAGTAGAGGCATTCATTTATGAGTTTACGTGGCAGCTGCTCCCTGAAAGGAGAAAAGAAGAAAGAGTAGAAAATTCTGCAGATGCATTCATTTATGAATTTACATGGCAGCTGCATCCAACATGAACCAGCAACCTACTATGAATTTACATTTCCAACCTTCAATCTCCCACCACACAAGGTACATATAGGGAAAAAAATGGAAGGTAAAATCAAGGTTAAAAAAAATTTACCAAAGAGGGCCAAGAACCAAAAAGCACAACAACAATCAAACCCCCTAATTCTCCCTCTTTCTCTCTCTCTCTCTCCTCTTATACCAATTTTTCCACCCTAAATCCTTTTATATAAAGAAAAAAAAAAGATGGAAGCCAACGCTAGTTGATTAATAAAACCTCCTATATCTGGAAAAGGCAATCGCATATGTCATTTACAAATGGTTCCTTTCAAATGTTAATGAGCCAAGTCTTCACTTCCAACACCCACACTTGACTTGTCAATTGTTCGAACATTGTATTGTTCATATACTCTTGCTCTATTCTCTGCCCACCATTGCTCTGCTTGTTTCTCACTAAACCGCTTTCGACTGCAATCAAAAAGGGGAGAAAATTCGTTATATCAATTTCCAGATATCACCGATTATTGCTTACTAGTCCAAATTAATTCTTACAGGCAGACAGGGTCGATTTAGTTGAGCAATGACAAACCAAATTTTTTCGGGTGCAATATATTTATTGACATTTAAAAATCCTAAGAGGCCAAGTCAGTAGATAGTCAAACATTTTCATAACTCTCGACCATGTAGAATATCATATGTTTGTCAATCTCTAACTTTAAATGGATTTAAGACTGCTTCTCGGTCTGGCTATGATAAAACTTATGTTTTTCTAGACCATGATCAAACCTCAGAAACACCAAGATAACATCTGAAAACAAGTTCCCAGACCGAGAGGTTGGCACAACTTGACATAAGCATTATGATCAAAAGATATTTTGACTATAACTATGAATTTGCAGTCAACCTTAACTCACTTGCATATGGATTCTACATAAACCATAAAATATGAAGTATTATTTCAATGAATGTTGGCCAAAGACAACAAACCTGAAGCGAACTCGCTTGAGATCCTTGGCACCTCCAGGCAAGGATGTAAGCGTAATATATACACCAGGCTCATCTTGCTCAACCCATTCATTATCATTACGAGATTCACCTTCTTTTGTTCTACTCCCATTTCTAGTTGTTGCTTCTGTATGTCCTTGTTTGCTCTGAACTGAACGGTTACCGCCATTGACGGTTCCATTAGGGAGTGAATGGTTGTTTGATCCATTTGACACTGGTTCTTGGCATGCTGTTTGGTTTTGGTCATTTAGCCGGTCCAGAGTGGCAGAGGAACATCGTTGGAACCGGGACTGGAGCCAAATGAAGTGAAGAAGGAGACTTGATATTCCGTGCTGCTCCAACGGGCAACCTTTCAGCCATATCCTTCAACTACAAAGCACCAGAAAGAAAAGGAGAAAGTATTTGTTCAGCACAAATAACTGATCCGAGCATGGGAAATTCAGTCACTGAAATATTAGTTGTCCAATAATTCTACTAATTGAATTCTATGATTGACAACAATTTCTTCAACACACGGATGAAATAAAAAATAATTCATCCCTACCCAGATTAGAACCATGTGTTTATCTTGGAATAGAAAAAAAGAAAAGCAAAATCTCTATCCAAAGTAACAGAGTTATTATGTTCACTCACAATGCCAAGACAACTCCAAAATGGATAAAATCTTTTCTTCAAGAGGATCTACGTACATGAACAAGACTGAAGAAGTGGAAGAAGGATTCAAAAAGCAAGGCATAGCTATACAGAACAGAGTGGAGAAACTTCATCCCATGGCATTGAAAAAGTCAAGCAGTATCAAAGTAACATAAACGTCCATCTTACTTGGGCAGTAAGTGATTTGATAACTTCCTTTGCTGCTTTGCATTTTGCAGTCTCTTCTCCAGCAATTGCTATTGCCTCTTTTAGCTGTTTAGTTGTTCTTTCAAGTTCAACTTCTTGAAGCTGGGCTTTACGGGTAAGATTCTCCACCTGAGAGAGAACATTGATCATCAACGATGAAAAAGATAAACAAGCATGCAGAATACATACAACCTTAGGCCTTTAGGACCAGAATCAAACAATATACCTGCACAACATTCAAAAGAAATCAAATATTAACCATTTCCAATTTGAGTAAGTACAACCAAATATGAGTTTGTTGAGGACGATCCAGGGAAGCTTATAGATATTTTTTTTTATAGTGCAAATTGCAAAAGCTTTATTTGGTTGGCATTCGTTTGGTGCCTTCTCAATATTATTACTTCTTTTTCCACTCCAAAGAAAAAATTGTTGAAAGTATTTGAATTTTCAAATATCTAACATGATATATAAAATATTCAGTTCAGCATGCTAATCCATTTCCACAAACTCAAATCTGCAATATCAATCAAGGAATTTCCTAGAAACAGTAAAATTTATTTGTGCTCGAGACTGTTTAAATAGTCCTTATAGCAATGTTTTAACTAATGCATATCATCCTCCTTTTCATCAAATTAAGTAACAGGAGAACAGAATAGAGAACATCATGATTCAGCATTTGCAACTCCAAATTTTTCAGCAAGTTAGCCTGCTGATTGATGTTCATTGCTTAATCTGCAGAGATGGGGACTTGCAATGCATAAATCCGCAATCACAAGTGCCCTACCCCAGTCTGATTGACCATATAGCAAATAACCTAATCATCTTTCCATCATTTTAAATCAACCTCTAGAAAATTCTTCAGAAATTGTGAGGACTTCAAGTTTACAACTTCCTTGTTGAATTTCCTTGAGGGCATTTGATCAAGTCATAACAAAAAAGTATGGTTTTTGCAATAAGGAGTTTCTAGCTTGACTCTAACTCACATTTCATCCTCACTTCAACTAAAGTAATAGAAATGTGCTGAATATATTATCAAGTCTTTCACAATTCTCATGCAGCCAAGTCAAGAATTTTGGATATTACAGAAATAGCCAGATATTCTAATATAGGCTAAGATATCATAGAAGTTGTAGATTATGTGCACAGAATTCATTTGAATACTAAAAAGCCAATTGAACATATTCTGACTGATTTGGGCTTAGAGAAAAGGAGATAAGTTCCAAATGCATCCTTATGTTCATTGCAACTAAGTTAAAAAGAGGTCATAGATGCTTAACATTTCAATGTCAATGAAATTCTGTCACAAAAAGTTTACAAGAAAACTTAGTGACTATGCTGCCTTCACCTTGGTGTCCTAGTTCAACAAACCTACTCACATTTACTTCTGCAGAGAACTGAAAATGAAAATAATGCATACCTGAAATAAATTGGCCAAAGTAAGGACATACCTGTGCTCTTAATTTAATAACCTCTTGACTAAGGTTATCATTGGTTCTCTTGGCATCATCCACAACAACCTTCGGTGATGTTAGTCCTCCCAGAGTTGGAGTTGGAGTCGTTGAACGAGGTGGGCTTGGCCGCCTTGATATTGGTGATGTTGCTCGAGAAACAATTCTAGATCCAGGAACAGAAGCTGAGAAAAATTTCTTGGATGATCCAAAAACTGGATTAAAAGATTTAGATATGTTCAGTGCACCCCATTGGGAACCTCCATTTGGTACCGGAGAGACACGACTGCTATTAAATTCTAGTTTCTTATTTCTCTTAGACCGGCCTTCTACTTGCTTCAAGGATTCCCTTGAAGAAAATCTGGCAAGCTGTCCTTGAGATCTGGAATCAAACTTCTCATCTTTCTCAATAAAGTCATTAGCCCCCTGATTGATGCTTCCTCTTCTACTCACAGAAGCATGGGATGAGGCATCAATTTCAATGGCTTTTCTGAGTTTATTGAAACAATTATCACAGACGCGATAAGGTTTGTTGGGATTTGGTGCCATAGAAGCCTTAAGAGACTTTTTACTGCTGCATGAATGGCAAAAAACTAGCCCACAATTGTAGCAATTATGACGCTTTCTTTTAAAATTAAATGGCAGGCGGCAACCAGAACACATGGATTGATCAACTCCAGAAACCCACTTGTGAAGACAGATAGCTGCTGTAAAGTTGGTACCGCAAGCAATACTCTTGACTTGCTTGTCTTTTAGAGCTTCGACTAGTGTTGGGGAATTTCTATCATCTATATCCCCATGACCTAAACGACCATTTGCTCCCTTTCCCCAAGTGTATACTTCGGTTCTTGAAGTTAGAACTGCAACATGATAAGCACCACAAGCTATCTCCTCCACGAAACTCTTGGAAAGCTTACCTTCAACTTGGGCAGGAAGCTTTCCATCTGCATGTGGGTTTCCAAGTTGGCCATAAACGGGACTGCCCATTGTATAGACATGGCCTGCTGTAGTAAGTGCAACTGTCAGGCTATGACCACAGGCAACTTGACAAAAATTGGGCTCAACAAGAGCAGCAACACAAGTAGGCACAAGTTTTGCTTCCTTGTCACCATGGCCTAGTCGACCCTTATCTCCATCACCCCATGTAAACAATTTCCCTGAAGAGCAGTTACTGGAACTGGAATTCCCAACCATGACTTCTACAACTGCAGCAGTATGCCACACACCACAAGCAGCTCGGACAGTGCGGAGCCCCCTTAAGGATTCCACTTCCCTTGGCAGTGAAACACTTTTCCGATCTCCATGGCCCAGAACACCAAAGGTTCCATCCCCAAAAGTAAATAACTGCCCAGAAGAGGTTACAACAGCTGTATGCCAAGGTCCACAAGAGATAGATGAGACATGTATGCCTTCCAAGGGCCCATTTACTCTTTTTGAGACCCAATGACTTACATCATTTCCATGCCCAAGAAGTCCAAAATTATAGGTGCCATCACCCCATGTGTATAGATCACCAGAAAGTGTAACAGCACAAGTATGGTACTCACCACATGCGACAAGTTCAATATTGGTGTTACTTAGTGCATCAATAAGTTTTGGATGCTGAACATCAGAGTCAACACCATGACCAAGCCTGCCTCCAGATTCCTCACCCCAGGAAAAAATCTCACCTTGCTTTGTCACCAAGGCAGCATGCCGTCCCCCACAGGCAATATTTTGGACATCAAGTACCACAGCAGATTCCAAAGCTTTTGGTAGTAAGGAGTCCATTTTGATGCCAAAATAATTTCCAACTTTATGAGTTCCACCACCCAAAACACCATCCCCTGTGCCTTCTCCCCAGATGAAAACATCCCCCAAGGCATCACCATCATCATGACCAGAACCTTGGCTTGAGGAGCTAACAGCACTGGATAGACTGACTCTAAAAGCATCCATAGGCATACCCTTCATGTGACCATGCACACTATCAGAGCCCCCTGATGACAAAGAATGCACTGATGCACTGGCAGAATCAGAAGGGAAAAATCCCTTGGGAGGAACAGCATATGATATTACATCTGAAAATGCCTTATCCAGGCCATTCTTTGGGGGACTTTCATATGGACTATGAATGCGAAGGTGATCAGCACTGTCCTGAATTGCAGTTAGAAGACCTGTTAATTTACAATCATCCTCTAGGAGTAGATAGGTAAGGTAAATACTGGTACCTTTTGCAAGCTATCATTACTACCAAATGGAGAATTTAAAGGAGAGCTCCTCCGTGTATATGTCCTAGGGCTATTTGCTTCAGATGGAATCCCATCACTTCTCGATTCTGTTCTCCCTTTCTGATGATGACTACGGGAAATCAATGCTTTTAAGCCACTAAACCACACCTCAGCTTCATCTTTGTCCTTGCAGATCTAACAATTCAAAGTCTTGCTATCAGACAAACAATTTCTAATTTTCATGCATAAGAGAGCAAAATATATAACAGAGAGATTATGCCAGCATACAAAACCATACAAAAAAAAAGCAGTAGAAAAGACTGACTACTACCAGCAATTCTTACCAAATCAAGTGATCTGTCATTATAGATAAGTGAGAATGACTGATACTCCTTTTCAGGTCGTGGATACCTTTGAAAGATAGGCTGGAAAGAAAAATTTATCACTGCCTTCAATGAGAGCATAGAAAGTAAATGTAACACTATCAAGTCATCAGACACTGCAAGACATAAGGAAGTATCAAACTTATTTATTCTAGAACTTATAAATGTATACATGTGAACATGCAGACAGACAAAAATAACAGACCAAATTCTGAATGGATGAAACAAGCAAGCTAGGTGGAAAATACATCAAGAGGTACGAGTGCCAGAATAAGATCAATGGCTGCTGGAGACAGCCTAAAGGTTTTGAGAGTTGATATAGGTCCATCATATGCAAATCTGATAAAGGTTATAACCACATCTCAGATCATGCCACAAGGATCCTTGTTCTGCAGGATAGCAATATAGCCATTTCAGGCCTAACAGTCAAGAAGGTGAGATGCAGTTTTAGGTAGGGATAAAGAAAATTGATAACAGAGACAGTCATTTAAGATAAAGAAGATTTTAGGTTTGAGTAAACCAACATTTATAGACATTCCTTGTCATCTCAGGCAAGATTTAGATAATAACCCTGAAGCCACAGAATAGAAAGAAAGAACGGAAGAAACAAATAAAACAGATATTTTGTCAAGGATAGCAATGAAAGCACCACCACAATCATATATTAGCTGGGTAAGATGTGCTTGACCCACATGTAGATACTTACAGTTCGTTGCCCAGATATGATCCTAGATACATGGCTCAGTTTAAGATGTTTCTCTTCTTTCCCCGAGAACCATATCAAAACAGATTCATCCTGAAAGAGAAAAAAAACACAATCATTTTGTAGAAATTCTATTGGGAAACTCATTTAATGTCCAGCTACATGAGATTAAACAATAACAATTCGAATACCATAAATAAGTGAAAACTGGAACACGTCTTAATGCATGAAATGGTTAAAGTGAAACAATCATATGCATGTGAATTTTTCTAAAAGAAAATGAGAAAAAATTCATCACATATTTATAGATGAGAGATTTACAATATAAAGATCCATCAAATAAGTGAAAATGGTATTCGTGGAGACTTCATTGAACCAAGTGTTAAAATATCAGAAATATTTACTTCCAATTTTAAATATACAGTATCAGAGCAAGATTCAAGTCTACATTCTCAACCCTCAGTTTTTGCATTATTTCCACAAAATTATGGTATTATGAATTCTTGTGTTCACAATCAGGAAGCAGAAACCACTTCAAGCACACAAATAGCTTAGCCATAAAAGAAGCATCCACATAGGAAGCAAGAAGCCAAATTATGGACTTCAGAACAGTGGAATTATTTTCATCAACTTCTTGCATTATTCTACAAACTGATGCCCTTATAAATTCTCCTGTCACAATCAGGAAGCATAAACCACTTCAGGCACACTAATCGGTTAGCCATAAAAGAAACATCCACTTAGGTAGCAAGAAGGCAAAAGTACAGAGTTCAGAAAATAGAATCATTTTCTATAAACTAGAAAGGGTTTATGGTGGTTGTTTATGCTATTGGAATGTTGCTGCATCAGTTCAATTTTCCTCGTTTACACACTTCACTGAGTCCAATAGTTTATAATGTTTTCTATATTCATAAAACAGCTTGTATTCTGGTGTGTGGACCCTGTTTCCTCAGTATACAAATATTGGTATCTTATATCTTTTGTTTGTGGTCTCCTTCCAGACTCCCAATTTCACTAAATTCCTATTTAAGATAAGTATTGTAATAAAAGAACCTAAAAGCCTTTTTACTTATGGAATTAGAGTTGACAATTTAAGTTCTCTGCTTGATTTTATTGAGAACTTCGATTGTGTTGATCTAGTATCTCTGTTCTACTTCTCTTTCTTCCTCTCTAAGTGCACACATTTCTCAGGTTAGTCCACAACCAATATGGATAACCTTTATACTTCTCTTTCCCAACCCTGCTGATATAATTATACAACTCTCCTCTATTTCACCCCATCATAAACTGTAATCTCTATATAAATTCCTGTCTTACCTCACAAATCCACCTTCTATTGCTGCTTGGATTTCTAGCAAGCTGTCTTCTCAGTTCCAGCGTCTTTCTTTGGCGTCAAAGCACCAATAATCTGAATCTAAGGGTTCTACAAACTTCTTAAGTCTTTCATATAAGTAACTCATCGTAAAGCCATTTAGACAGACAGCCTAAGGCAAAGTACACACTGATTTGGATCCGCTAAATGCCACTCAATCAACTTCCAACCTAGTTTGAAGTCTAGAATTTCTTTATATAATTTGAATTATATTATCTGGAGAACTTCGATGATGAGAAGCTACTCTAACATGCTTTAGAGATTATCATTGAAATGTCAAATCATATGTTACACATATATCCACATATCTAATGCGTGTTCGTTACTAGCTTTTTTCAGAAAAAAGAAAAAAAAGGACCCTAGATTATACATAAAGCATAAATGCTGAAAGGCACACTCCCTATACATTTCTTTAGCAACGAAAGAAAACCAGTATGTATGTGTATGTGTACATGTGTGTGTTGTCTGTATATATCATGCTTCATGCAATTGATGTATTAGGCAGTCAGGTTCATATAAACAATATTTATTAGTCTATCTCTCGAGCCATAGACATACATACACACACCCACATATTTGAGCCATAGACATACATACACACACCCACATATACTGATACTTAGAAGCCAAAGCCATAAGCTAAGATAAGCTAGATATGCAAAAGAAAATTACAACTCTGTGGGACACAATTGAACTTACATTTGAAAGGCGGAATGGACAAAACTTGGGTTTTCCCCTTCTTCCATATTTGAGCAGGTAAGCCCCTTTCTTTAGAGCGGTAATGGCCTGTCCCAAAAAAAAAAAACCAACAACCTAACTGAAAATTTACCAATCAGAAGATGCCCATGGAGAGTAATGTCACATGCCCAAACAGCAAGAGAGTCAACACTCCCTTAATACCGTGATTAACAATACAGTTTTTTCTTTCAAAACAATCTAGTAGGCTAGAACACTTTGAACCAAAAAAAAATTAGCTGTGTGTCAACAAGAAGTTGAATCCTATGCATCTAGCAAAAAGCCAAGAAGAACATAAAGTGGTTCTAGAGATTTCAGACAAAGGAACAACTCTAATGACTGCAATTCCAGAGTTTAAATATCATACCAACAAATAGAAAGCAGGTAAGATTCACTGCCAGAAACTCAAGAAAAGATTGGTTAAGTCTCTCTGAACAAAGCCTACAGATCATCAACCTTTGGGATTGATAAGAAAGTGGTACCTACAAATACTAGAGAGACATATACAGACAGACTCCAACCTAATCTTTGAGAGGTTTAGATCAGTCGCACTTCCTCACACTCGGTACAAAATTTTCTGCCAAGATCAATTCCATATACATAATCAGGCCTTCTCTCCCCTTATAAAGATAATAATGATAATAACAAAGTCACTCAATAAATAATAACGACAACAACAAATGAAAAGAATTAAAATATTAAAATAAGGAAGCCAATATTTTCAGTATGTTCTACGACTTAGACTAAAAATAAAAAAATGCTAAATCATATATATCACTTTGTCTACTTGTGTAGCTACCCAGTGGTACCTATCACTTTAGTTAATACAGCAATTCTAACCATCCGACCGACCTGAAGTTAGCAATGAAATACATTAAACCAGCATCTCATGATAAAATCAGATTTTCAATTCACTTTAGACACTGTACTATCCACACAATTTATCTAACACTGAATCTGATACACTCATTATAGCAAACAAACCGTTCAAAAACTAAATTAAAAGCAATAAACAGAAATTTCAAGAGCAATGCAAGTGAATACGAATCTAAGTACAATGCTCAATATCCCTCTCAACGGGGCCC